CCAAAAGTCGAAAAACCGAAAATCGAATTGTCAAAAAAAAGAGAAATGGAAAAATTGAAAAATCCAAAACTCGAAAAAATCAAAAAATCGAAAAACCGAAAAATTGGAAAATTGAAAAATCGAAAAATCAATGAATCGAACTATTGAAAATTCCAAAATTTGAATAAACGAAAAATGGAAAATCAAGAAATCCGAGAATCGGAACATCTAAAAGTCAAAAAATTAAGAAATCGAATGATCGAGATGTCGAAAATTCGAAAATTGAGAATGAAAAAAATTGAAAAATCCAAGACCCGAAAAATCGAGAAATCAAAATATTCAAAAGTCGATAAAGCGAAAAATCTTAAAATTGAAGAAATGAGAATTTAAAAATCCAAAATTGAAGAAATCGATAAAATGAAAAATCGAAAAATTGAGATATCGAAAATTTGAAAAATCCAAAACTCGAAAAATGTGAAAATCCAAAAACGGAAAAATCGAAAAACGAGGACTCAAAAAAAGAAGAATCGACTGAAAACACTGAAAAATTCGAGAAATTGAAAAATCAAAATATTGAACAGTCGAAAAATTCAAAAATCTGAAAGTCGAAAACTTGAAAATTAAAATAAACCAAAAATTAGGATCTCCAAAAGCTGAAAAACTGATAATCGATTTGTCAAAAAATTAAGAAATGGAAAAATTGAAAAATCCACAACTCAAAAAAAAACAAAAAATCGAAAAACCGAGAAATAGGAAAATCGAAAAATCGAGTAAGGAAAATATTGAAAAATTGAAGAAACGAAAAGTCGAAAAATCGAAAAGTAGAAAAAATTCAAAAATCCAAAAACCAATGAATCCAACTATTGAAAATTCCAAAATTTGAATAAACGAAAAATGGAAAATCAAGAAATCCGAGAATCGGAACATCTAAAAGTAAAAAAAAGAATGAAAAAATTTGAAAAATCCAAAACCCGAAAAATCGATAAATCAAAATACTGAAAAGTCGAGAAAGCAAAAATCTTAAAATTGAAGAACTGAAAAATTCATAGTTCAAGAAATTAAAAAATCCAAAATTGAAGAAATCGATAAAATGAAAAATCGAAAAACGAGGACTCAAAAAAAGAAAAATCGATAAACCAAGAATTCGAATAATCGAAAACTCTAACAACTGGAAACTGAAAATTCGAGAAATTGAAAAATCAAAATATTAAACAGTCAAAAAAATTGAAAAGTCGAAAAATTCAAAAACCTAAAATTAGAAAAATTGAAAATTTAGATAAACGAAAATTTGGGATCTCGAAAAATCGATAAATAGGAAAATCGAAAATACGAACAAGCAAAATATTGAAAAATTGAAGAAACAAAAAGTCGAAGAATCGAAAATTCGAAAAACTAATTAATCGAACTGTTAAAAATTCCAAAATTGGAATGGGTCGAAAAATTGAAGAATTAAAAAAATGAAAAACCGAAAAAAATCGAATAATTAACAGTCGAAAAATAGAGCAACCGAAAAATCCAGTGATCGAAATTCGAAAAATCTAAATGTTGAAAACTCAAAAAAATTGAAAAATTGAGAAATCGAAAATTCAGAAATCGGAAAATTGAACAATTGAAAATTAGAGAAATTGAAAATTTTGACTAAATCGAAAAGTCGAAAAACTAAGAAAACAAAAAATCGAGAAATCGAGAAGAGCGAATGAGTGAGTGAGTATAAGATCTTAAAAAAAGACACCGAAGGACCTGGGGATTTTTTTTAAACCATTAAAAAAAATTATCACTTCTCTCGAGATATATTTTTTAAGACTTGAACAAAAACACACGATTTATTTAATAATTTTATAGTTCAAAGTGTAGAGTTAAAATACATACTTAATTTGAGAAAAATACTAACTACCTAACCACGAAAAATATTAAATATTTCTAATAAAGTTTCGAGTAACTATATCTACCAATAAGTTAAAAGTCGATTAGACCCCAAAATTTTGGAAAAATTCGTGTCTTTCAAAAACCGCCCGACTTTGATTTACGTAATTTATCCATCACGGAAATCGTCGAAAAAAAAGTTTTTGCCATCTACAACCAAAAATTTTAATTGAATTATATTTTCGTTCACTTTATTCATTCACCTGTATCCCTAACTCGTAGTTAACGGAAATATTTTCGGAAAATTTGATTTTAATCGGCTTCGACAACGATATCAGCAGCATCAAGTACATTTTCTTGTTGGATTCGTTCCAGTCGCACCAATCCACTTGTACTAAAGCATCGAATATTTCGCCAGTCTTGAAAAATGTAAAATAAAAGGAAAATTTAAATTTTGAATCCTCGTCCTTACGTAATCCTCGATCTCTTGACCAACCACTGCAGTCCCCGTTAGGGCAGTAAATGAAGCAATCGCCAGCGCACCAACACGTAAATACTGGCCCTTCAGCGATCCCTCCAACTAAGAATTTTTTTACTTAAGAAAAAATAAAATCAATAAAGTGGTATTTTCACCCAAAAGTAAAACACGCCAATGCTCATCAAGACCGCTGTACCCAGAATTTCTAGAGGCAGCACAAGAAACTGCGTCCGTTTTGCAATATATCGGACCAACCTAAAAATTGTACCTTCTCGACCAGAACATTCTCGTTGTTTGATCCACTTACCCACTCGTGGACGAATGGTAACTGATCAAAAGTTTCAGAGTTTTGGCGATTTCTTTGTGATTTATTAGGGCTGCTCTAGTGGTGAGATTTTTTATTCCATGCAAACACAGTTGTACTTGAGGATCAATAACCAGCAAAAAGTACATCAAGTTGGAGCACGATATGGCCGAACTCACGTAGCTTACAGGAACAACGAGACACCTGCTAAGATTTTTCCAAAACATTTTTCCCAAACGCGTTTTCGACAAATTAAAAGCAAAAATTAGATCGTCGTCGTCTTTGGTTGGTACCATCATTGAAATTGCCACCAGTGCGGACGCTATAGTTATCCAGATCATAAAAATCGTTGCGTAGTAGGCCCTTTTTTCGATTTTTTTCTGGACGATTTTGGCGGCTTTTTGAAAACAATTTTGATCGACGCTTTTTTGGGCTAATTTGTTAAGCTCTATTAGTAGAGGTTGTATTAGCAGACAGATAAGGGCCTATAATTATAATAATTATGTACTTGGTAAATTGTAAAATTTTTGACGGTTTACGTAAAGTACGATGAAGTACGAGGGTCCATACTGGACGAAATAATCGACTTCGTATCGGACAAGATCGAGGGTTTGGAGAAGGACTGAAATAAATATACCCAATTTGGACCAAAATAAGACGAACCGCACACTTTTTAAAAGGTACACATCGACGACCAAAAATCGGCAGATCTTCATGTAGGTTTCGTCTACAAATACCAGGTTGAGTTTATCTTACAAATTTGGGTTTTAATTATGGAAATCTTACACTTCATCTTGCACGTGTTTCAGCTGGTAGACTGAGCACAAATACGTCGATGTTGAGTCTTAAATAGGTTGCTGTCGTTTTTTGAAATTCGTCTTCCAACGGAAACTTATTTCATCTACTTTATTATTTAACAGTGGAATCGTCGCTGTATAATCGATTCCACATTTAGATAAACAAACAAAAAACAGATCGCGTTAATGAATTTTTACTGTTTAAAAGTTTTAAAATTGAAAAAAGTTTCGTAAGGAAGGAAAAAAATTGTCAACGAAGTCGCGTTTGATGATAAAGTTTGGGAAAACCGCAGAGCAATAATTTTAGTGAATTATTGTTAGTCTTGAATAGTGATTTATAATCAATAAAATAACGAAACAATTTAATCACAGTGAGAGTGAAACAGAAACTAAACTAAAAGACGTTTTCTATGAATTACAATGCCGACGGTCCAGACATTTTTATTGCTCTGACTATCTATTATTGACTAAAACACTACATTTTATTTTGATTTTCGATGTTGTAATCACATTTGTTTAATTATAACTTGTCAGGCTCAGCATCCCCTAATCTAGCTACGGCCTTGTCAAGGGATTATGAAATATCCAGAAAATATGAAAGTACCAAATTACCATTACGGACTCCATTACTATACGCCCTTAGGTTATCCTCGATAAGAAAAACAAATTGAAAGTGTCTATGTTTATACATCGGAATAATGTCACGTAGAAATTAGTTAGATTTGAATGACTTCGTCCGCTCAAAACAGAGGATCAAAACTATTAAGTAGTAAGCCACAATCGATAAAATGAAGAATTCCAAAAATGAAATGACGAAAATTGGGAGATTGCAAAACTGGAAAACTGAAGAATCGAAAACTCTAAAAATCGAAAAATCGAAAAAAGCAAGAAACCAAGAAATCAAAAATTTGAAAATCTGAAGAAATTGAGAAGTTGTAAAGTCGAGAAGTCCAAAAATTTCGAAAAATAGAAATACCCTAAAGTCGAAAAATCGAAAAAGCGAGCAATCAAAAAAAGGAAATAAGAGAGAGACAGAGTGAGAGAAGAAAGAAATGAGAGAAAGGAAATAAACAAGAAAGATAAAACAACGGAATTGTAAAAGAATTGAAACGATTTTTTTTTAATTAAATTTTTACAACATTCTTCAAATTTCGACCCATTTATCAACATTTTCGAAACTTAATTCAATACATTTTCTCGTAGATCTCGAGCTCTAGAACTCACTTCCGACTTCCTTTCTTTGATAACTCCAACCATTTTTTCAAAATCCGCCCTTGAATTAGGTATCGAATTTTTTGGAATTTAAAAAAAAATGACCTTAAAATTGAACATTTTGAAAATAATAATGAACATAACACGCTATATTTTTTCCAGTAATGAGAAGTCTCCCTTCGTTAAATCTATCTGTAGTTGTTTTTATTTATTTCTATAGAAAATATCCATTATCTTCAACGACGATTCCTCTGCTAAATAATAAATTAGATGAAATATAGGTAATTTCAAAAACGACAGCAACCTGATTAAGCCTCAACATCCGCGTAATTGTGTTCAGTGTGTATTTTCTTCCACCAGCAGAAAGACGTGTTGTCGTCGTGTGTTTAAGATGCAGTGTAAGATTCTCTTAGTTAAAAATTAACTTGTGTAACCTGGCATTTGTAGACGAAGACTACATGAAGATCTGTCGATTTTTGGTCATCGACATCTATCATTTAAAAAGTGTTCAAATCGTGCTATTTGTGTCCAAATTGGGGATATTTTTCTTGGTAATCCTCCAAACGTGCGAGTTTCTATCCCGATTCGAAGTCGATTATTTCGTCCAGTATGGACCGTCGTACTTCATTTTGCTCTATGTAAAACTTCCAAAATTTCGACCATTTACAAACTGACTGCTGTTATACTCGTAGGTACTAACTTGTCTATTAACACAACCTTTATTCACTGACGCTCTAAAATCAGCCGCAGGAAAAATCGAGAAAAATAGTTCGCAAAGCATCGTCAAAATCGTCCCGAAAAAAGTAAAAAAAAGTGCCCTCTTTGCCACTATTTTTGTGATCTGGACAACGACGATATCCGCACTGATGGCAATTTCGCTGATGATACCAACCAAAGACGACGATAATGTTTTCTTTGCATTTAATCTGGCGAAAATTTATTTACCGGGATGGAAAATCGTTTTGAAAAATATTGCCAGGTGTTTCGCTTTTCCTGCATCTTATTTAAGCGCGTCTATAGCTTGTCTCAATTTGTTGTATCTGTTTCAAGTCGGCAATCTTAACATTCAGAAGTGTCTTCTTCAAATAAAAAAAATTAACGCTACAACAAACCAGGACGAAATCGCCAGAAGTCTGAAATTTTTGCTAAATTCTCTTACGACGAATGAGGGGTAAGTTGACGAACGAGAATTCTGTGATTTTTGTTGAATTTTCAGTTTTATCCGTGAGGCTGCAAAACGGGCGGAATTTCTTGTGCTGCCGCTGAAAGTTATGGCTTCTGCGGCCATGATGAGCATCGTCGTTTTTTACTTTGGGGTAGAAACACAACTTTCCTCTTTTTTTTTTAATAAATAAAAACCAATTTAGTTTGAGGGTTCGTTAAGAGATCAGTATTTTCGTATATTCGGCTTGGCACTTATTGCGATTAACGCTGTAGTGGGGACTCCAGCGGTTGGTCAAGCAATCGAGGATTTCGTAAGAACCAGGATCACGCTGACCAGGATTTCTTTCTAGTCAAATTTTTTTCTAGATGAGCCAAGTATTCGATGCTTTAGTTCAAGTGGAGTGGTGCGACTGGAACGAATCCAACAAAAAAATGTACTTGATGCTTTTGATAGCCTCGTCGAAGCCGATTAAAATCAAATTTTCGGAAAATATTTCCGTCAACTACGAGTTCGGTGTAGAGGTGAGTGATCAGGAGAACGAAAAAATCGCCGAAAATTAAAATAAAATATTTGGTTGCAGTTGGCTAAAACTGTGTTCTCCACGATTTCCGTGATGGAGAGATTGCACACATCGAAATCGGGCAGTTTTTGAACGAATTCTTTTTCAGGTTTTCTCAAAATTTCAGGCAACTTAAACTATTTGAAAATGTTTCTAGATTTTTTTGAAATTACACTATGTTATGTTATTCTGTATTATTACTACTCGTTGTCAAAGACACCTACCTAATTAATGAAGTAACATTCACAAATATTTTAAATGCTAATTTTAAGTCTTCATCTTCTATAAAATAAAAAAATAAGTTTCTCGTTTGCGCCTATTCATTTTTCAATGTTTCGATTTTTCGACTTTTCGACTTATCACGTGATCTACTTATTTTAATTCTTCATTTTTTTTACATTTCCAGTTTTTCGATTTTTCGATTTATATCGACATTTTGATATTTCAATTTTTTTATTAATTCAGTTTCCCAATTTTTCGATTTTCGATTTATCGGTGTTGGGCTATTTTGATTTCTCGATTTTCCGACCTCTCGATTTTTCGATTTATCGAGTGATCAATTTTTCGATTTTTGAGTTTTGACTTTTTTCACTGTTTCGATTCTTCAATTTTTCGATTTTTTAAATTTCACATTTTTCGAATTTTTAAATTTTAGATTTTTAGATTTCTGGATTAATAAAATAAATTGACTCATTCATTAATCTTTTTGAGATACTCGGTATAAGCAGTTCTGAAAACAGAAGCAGATTTTAGGTTGGTTTTATTTGCCAAAATTTTGAGAACACCTCATCAATTTTTGGGAGGAGATAAATGAATAATGATCTACTCTCGTAAAAAAATGTACTGGCCCCGCCCACCCACCCTTGTTTTCTTGGAGGATGTCATTTGCAAAAATCAGTCTTATACTTGCGAAGATAAGACTGATTTTGGCAGATGACCTATTCTTTATTTTCTTAGAAGAGTGGGTCGTTGGCTAAAATGAAAAGAAAATAGATGTTTTTTTTTTAAATTTTCGATTTTTGATTTTTGGTCACCGAGTTTTTGGAAGGAAGTAATAAGTAATTTTGATCAGCGAATTTCCATGTTTACCGTAAAACATCTGAAAATTGTGTTCCTAATTTTCAATTTTCGGATTTTTCGATTTTTCAAAATCTTGGTTCGAATAAATTTGTTCTTTTAATTAATAAATCGAAAAATGACAAATCGTGAAAAGGAAAACTTGAAAAATCAAAAGATTGGAATTAAAAACTGCAAAATTGTCAAACAAATTATCAAATGAAATATTCAAAAGTTAAAAAATCTAAAAACTAAAAAAAACGAAAACTGTAATTTCGAATTCGGGTTTATAAGATTTGTTTTTTTCAATTTTTCGATATTTCAGTTTTTGATTTTCCGATTATGCAGTTGTATAATTTTTCCAATTTCTCATTTATCCGTTTTTTCATTTTTTGATTTTTAATTTTTTTATTTTTAGCAAGTGCTAACCCCAACCACCCAGTCTTTATTTTCTTGGAAGAATAAGACATCTGTCAAAATCAGTCCTATCTTGGCAAGTAGTAGCCCCTCGCCCACCCTCCCTTATTTTCTTAGAGCATATATCATCTGCCAAAATCAGTCTCATCTTGACAAATACTAGCCCCGCCCACCCACCCTTTATTTTCTTGGAAGAATGGGTCATCTGCCAAAATCAGTCTTATCTTGACAAGTGTTTCGATTTTTCAATTTTTTGTTTTTTAAGTTATACATTTTTTGATTTTTCAATTTTTCGATTTTTCAGTTGTTCAATTTTTCTATTTCTCTCTTTATATCCGTCTATCGAGATTTTGTTCCTTAGATTTTTTGATATTTCATTTCCTCGATGTCCCCAATTTTTAATTTTTCGATGTTTCGATTATTCCATTTCCCGAACTCTCGGTTTTTCGATTTTTCGACTTTCAGATTTTTCGATTTTCGAATTTTTCGATATTTGGTATTTCAATTTTCCTATATTTCAATTTTGGGAGTTTTCAGTTTTCGATTTTCTATTAATCGATTTTTCGATATTTGAGTGTTGGGACTTTTCAATTTTCCGATTCTTCAATTTTTTGATATTTTAATTCATTGATTTTTTAAATTTTAGATTTTTCGATTTCTCGATTTCTCGATCTTCTGTTGTTTCGATTTCTCGATGTTTCAGTTTTTCAATTTTTCGATGTTTCGTTTATTCGATCTCACGATCTCGCGGTTTTTCGATTTTTCTACTTTTCGATTTTCAAATTGTTGATTTTTCGTTTTTCAATTTTTCGATTTCCCAATTTTTCTACATTTCAGTTTTGGTATTATTCAATTTTATATTTTTCGATTTTTTAATTTTTCAACTTTTCGATTTCTCTTTTCTGATATTTCGACTTTTCAATTTTTAAAGTTTTAAATCTTTCGATATCTCGATTTTTCATTTTTTCTTTGATTTTTCAGTTTTTAGATTTCCCAATTTCTCATTTTTTTAGTTTTATATGTTTCGATTTCTCAATTTTGTTTTTCCGATTTCTCAGTTGTTTAATATGGTAATTTTTCGATTATCAGTCTTCAAAATTTTTAATTTTTTTGTATTTAACGATTTTTCAAGTTCTTTTACTTTAGAGCCTAGAGAAGTTCTGTCGACATAACCTTCGACCAATTTTTTACTTTTACATTTTCTCGACCTTTCATGACCCCTAGAGTACGAAGAAATAGGTCCTCCGTTTCCGCCTATTAATCGATTAATAGGATAGGTTTTTCGATTTCTCGATTTTTCGAGTGATCTACTTAATTTAATTGTTCGATTTTTTTGACTTTTCCAGTTTTTCGATTTTTCTATTTATATCGACATTTTGATATTTCAATTTTTTGATTAATTCAGTTTCCCAATTTTTCGATTTTTATGTTTATCGATGTTGGGCTATTTTGATTTCCTGATTTTCCGACCTCTCGATTTTTCGATTTATCGAGTGATCAATTTTTCGTTATTTGAGTTTTGAAATTTTTCACTGTTTCGGTTCAATTTTTCGATTTTTAAATTTCATATATTCCGAATTTTTAAATTTTAGATTTTTAGATTTCTGGATTTCTCGTTTTTTGATGTTTCCACTGTTTCGATTTTTCAATTTTTTCTTTTTTAAGTTCTACATTTTTAGATTTTTCAATTTTTCAGTTTTTAAATTTTTCAATTTCTCTCTTTATATCCGTCTATCGAGATTTTGTTCCTTAGATTTTTTGATGTTTCGTTTCCTCGATGTCCCCAATTTTTAATTTTTCGATGTTTCGATTATTCCAGTTCTCGAACTCTCGGTTTTTCGATTTTTCGACTTTCAGATTATTCGATTTTCGAATTTTTTGGTATTTGGTATTTCAATTTTCCTACATTTCAATTTTGTTAGTTTTCAGTTTTCGATTTTCTATTGATCGATTTTTCGATATTTGAGTTTTGAGATTTTTGAATTTTCCGATTCTTCAATTTTTTGATCTTTTCATTCATTGATTTTTTAAATTTTAGATTTTTCGATTTCTAGATTTCTCGTTTTTTTATTTTTCGGTTTTTCGATGTTTTGATTTATCAATTTTTTTAAATTCAAATTTTCAAGTCTTAATTTTTGATTTTTCAATCTTGGGCTATTTCGATTTTTCGATTTTTAGAAATCTCGATTTTTCGTTTTCTCGATTTCTCGATCTGCTGTTTCGATTTCTCGATGTTTCGTTTATTCGATCTCACAATCTCGCGGTTTTTCGATTTTTCGACTTTTCGATTTTCAAATTGTTGATTTTTCGTTTTTCAATTTTTCGATTTACCAATTTTTCTACATTTCAGTTTTGGTATTATTCAATTTTATATTTTTCGATTTTTTACTTTTTTAACTTTTCGATTTCTCTTTTCTGATATTTCGACTTTTCAATTTTTATGTTTTTCAATTTTTAAAGTTTTAAATCTTGCGATATCTTGATTTTTCATTTTTTCTTTGATATTTCAGTTTTTAGATTTCCCAATTTCTCATTTTTTTAGTTTTATATGTTTGGATTTCTCAATTTTGTTTTTCCGATTTCTCAGTTGTTTAATATGGCAATTTTTCGATTATTATCAGTGTTAAAAATTTTTAGATTTTTTGTATTTCACGATTTTTTAAGTTCTTTTACTTTAGAGCCTAGAGAAGTTCTGTCGACCAATTTTTTACTTTTACATTTTCTCGACTTTTCATGACCTCTAGAGTACGAAGACATAGGTCCTCCGTTTCCGCCTATTAATTGATTAATAGGATAGGTTTTTCGATTTCTCGATTTTTCGAGTGATCTACTTAATTTAATTGTTCGATTTTTTTGACTTTTTCAGTTTTTCGATTTTTCTATTTATATCGACATTTTGATATTTCAATTTTTTGATTAATTCAGATTCCCAATTTTTCGATTTTTATGTTTATCGATGTTGAGCTATTTTGATTTCTCGATTTTCCGACCTCTCGATTTTTCAATTTATCGAGTGATCAATTTTTCGTTATTTGAGTTTTGAAATTTTTCACTGTTTCGATTCTTCAATTTTTCGATTTTTTAAATTTCACATTTTTCGAATGTTTAAATTTTAGATTTTTAGATTTCTGGATTTCTCGTTTTTTGATGTTTCCAGTATTTCGATTTTTCAATTTTTTGTTTTTTAAGTTGTTTAATTTTTTTATTTCTCTCTTCATATCCGTCTATCGAGATTTTGTTTCTTAGATTTTTGGATGTTTCGTTTCCTCGATGTCCCCAATTTTTAATTTTTTGATGTTTCGATTATTCCATTTCTCGAACTCTCGGTTTTTTGATTTTTCGACTTTGAGATTTTTCGATTTTCGAATTTTTCGATATTTGGTATTTCAATTTTCCTACATTTCAATTTTGGGAGTTTTCAGTTTTCGATTTTTTATTGATCGATTTTTCGATATTTGAGTTTTGGAATTTTTGAATTTTCCGATTCTTCAATTTTTTGATATTTTAATTTATTGATTTTTAAATTTTAGATTTTCCGATTTCTCGATTTCTCGTTTTTTTATTTTTCGGTTTTTCGATGTTTTGATTTATCGATTTTTTTAAATTCAAATTTTCATGTCTTAATTTTTGATTTTTCAATCTTGGGAT